TCTTGATTAATAATTAAAACTAATCTTTAGCATTGTTTATTATACTTCATAATATATAATATTCGTTAGGCAAACTTTCACTCGGATAAAACCCGGGCGAAGCCGGGTACACATCCGCTAGTATTTGTATAAATTCTATTGTTTATAGCTGTAATTTTATTGGAACCTTTTTGTAACATTGTTGACTAGAAGTCAATAAAGTTTGTTTCATTCTAAAACTAATATTGGGAGGGCTTGATTCATCAGTGGTGAACCCTTCCAGCGGTTTCACAAATTTAATCTATCAGACCGCTTCTTTAGAGTTCTAATACTTTATTGGATCATTCTGCATATATATGCTATACTGAAGGGTGGAATCTCAGAAATAGTATTTACGGCAAACTATATTATATAATAATATAATACATACTATGTGTTGAAATAGAGTACATAATAAACGCGAAAAGTAAGTTCATATATATATCTTTATTTGAAAAATAATTTGAAAACCTTATTATAATTTTGCTAGCCAATGTATCCGGCTTTGTTGTTTTTCCCCGAGTAAAAGTTTGCCTAACAAACGCCTATTAAAGCAATATTTTCAGGGCAAACATCCACTCCCTACTGAATCTATCTTTGTCAAGATATGTTTGTTACTCTTCTCCCTCAAACTACTGAATAAACCATTTGGAAAATTTCCATGTAGGTAACTGAAAATATATAGATTAACATATAAACTATTTAATAGCTAAAATTAGATAATAAACGAATCAATTTGAATATTTTGAGGATATACAATTATGTTAATTATAATATAAAGACTAAATGACTTAAGCTTTTTGAGCGCGTGAAATGCAAGTTATCCTGTTTGGTTTTAAATAGAGAATAAACGAAAAATATAAAAAAAATTTTTTTTTCTATGAAAAATGAACTATCAGCTTATTACAATCGAAATATTAAACTATACACACAAAACTCTCAGTTGAAATAATGACAAAAATACATTAATTTAAGAATACCTTTTTTTCCAAGAAATTGAATGCTAGCGGACAACCTATATATTTAAGATTGATTTAATGAGTTAGAATGATTCCGTATGTATAAGGATTATTGTGTTGCGCGTTTGTATGCTGTTGTTGTTGTTGTTGTTGTCGTGTCAAATGAAGAGCCTCAGATGTCTCCATGCATCTCTATCACAGCAGCAGCAATGTCCACTATCTTGGGTGTGTCAATTTGTATGCTGTCAAATTCATTATAAAGAAGATAAATGTATATATAGATACATTTTTTTGGACGACAGTTCTTTTAAGCTATGTTAGGTGCGGGGGGCGGGGGGACATCCTGGGATGGAGGATTCTCCATTTCGATAATGGTCGATGGGCACTCGCAGTTTGGTGCTTTTTTGGGGACATCTGGTATTCCGGGTTCTTTTGCCGTTAGTCTGCAGAGGCAGAGGGTCATGGCTATTGCGCATAGGACGGTCAGGGCCACTATTAGTACGTCGTCCCAGTGGGCGAACAAGTAATCTAATTTTTGGCGAAAGTTCAGTTGGGGAGGGTCGGTGGCTTGGACGCTTTGGACGAGGAGTAGGATCGTTAGGTAGTACATTTTGAATAGTATTGCTTCGTAATAAGTCGATATTTTCTGAATTGTGAGCTTCAATTCTCATTGTTGTAAATTTTGACGCCATTTTAATAAGAAATATAGATTTATTAAGAAATTTTGGTGAGATTTAGACAGGATAATCACACTTCAACTTATTGAATGTCTATATTCTATAATATTCCCCCCAAAATATAAATCCTTAGTTTTTCAATACATAAAAATATTGATTCAATATATATAAATGCATAAAAAGTATTCGAATATATGTGAGAAAAAATAGTATATGGATAATTTATATTATTAAAGTAAAAAATATTTCTTTCCTAACTATAATGATTGGAAGACTGGGGAGAATCAATTCCTATAATTATCACTATTGATCAATCAGGAGAATTACAATAATTTCTTTATTAGTTTAAAATGACAAGCTCTTTCAAGGATCAGTCAATCATCAGCCCAATTGTATCGCAAATACCTACAATATACAGAGAATGTATTTACATATTTAAAAAGTTTATCTAAAATCTAAAGAATAAAGTATTTTAGATTTCAGTTGAACTTTTTGAATATCTATAAGGTTGTACCAAAAATTCGTAAACATATTATGATTTATATTTTTCAAGTGTTTACAAACTTTTGTGACAACCTTGCAATTCTAAAACTTGGCCCACCTGCGGATTGGCCATCCTTGATATAGAAAACCAGAGATTAAATCATTCTTCTATAAGAATTATGTTATAATTTTACCAAGGTTAACAATATTACCAAGGTTGTCCTAAAAGTTCGTAAACACTTGCAAAATATAAATCATAATATGTTTTAGAACTTTTGGGGCAACCTTGCAATTCTAAAACTTGGCCCACCTGCTGATTGGCCATCCTTGATATAGAACATCAGATATTAAATAATTCTTCTATAAGATTTCTGTTATAATTTTACCAAGGTTAACAATATTACCAAGGTTGTCCCAAAATTTCGTAAACACTTGCAAAATATAAATCATAATCAAAATATGTTTAAGAACTTTTGGGACAACCTTATAAATTCCTTCTAGTTCTCTGTGAAACAATTGACTTGATGATGAGCTGATACTCGAAAACTTTCCATTTTAAACTAATAAGGAAACTTATTACAATCCATTTCAAGGAGAAATAACGATTATTTCTAAACTTTGGGATGAGGTATGAAAGGGTGAATTGTGAAGAGTAATGATAAACGGAAAAATAAAAGTGTCCAGGGATGGGAATCGAACCCACAGTGTTCCGCTTACCGGGCAGATGCCATGTCCACTAGACTACCCTGAACATATTTTTCCGTTCGTAAATAATACATAAAGTAATTTATAATACAATATAATATAATGCGGCTTGTGAAAAGAAACACATGCAGGATAGTTTTCAAATGTCGTTTTACAATCACAAGCCGCATTATATTGTATTATTTATTACAATTCAGTTGATTGATAAATTGTGTTTCTACTTTTGCTAATATTCTAGAATATTTAACTATCGCTATATTTGAATATGTGATAAAACTTGATTTCATTGATCAATTCCATGTCCAACCTCCGCTATCAAAGGCCGAACGTTCAAGATTTGGCTCAGGTTCTTGAAGACAAAACCGCGCTACAAATATAGCGGTTAAACAGAATCTTCCAGCTCGGATTTCAGGCAGCAACAACCCCGGCCAGGAATAGCTGCTCGGGTCTAGTTCCTTCTGGAATCTTCTATTTACTTGCTAGTCCCGCGACCACATCTTGTGTCCTACCTTCACTTAAATTACGCGTTTGGAGGTCGATGGACGAATGGTATAAACTGTCATTTACGACAGCTAGGATCGAATCCCGCATTGGGTACTTTTTTTTTCTGAATAAAAATGGCTTCATTTGCCCCCCTATTCATGCAAAAGTCTAACCCACCAGTGATTGTAAGTAAGAAAACGGGGCTCTGGCATAATTTTAAGTGCAATAATCGAATTTCTTACTACATGTGTAGACAAGTGGCCCACTTACAGTGAAAGAAGTCGCTACTTGTGTGCTGGTCACACGTTGAATGGTAGCTAGTATTGAAACTGGTGCTGCGACAGCCGTTCTGACAATCGCTCTGTCCTCCCGTTCTGTTGTTGCCCTTGGTCGACCGCTGCCGTCCTGACGTTACATTCTTCCGTTTTTGACCCACTCTTGTCAACATCGTCTAATAGCCGTATTACTTCGACACAGATGTCGCGTGATTAGTCGATTTTACAAAACTATCAACTTTCATTCCAATGGCTCGAGCTTCGTAATGAGCATGAATTTTTCGGCGAGGCATTGATTCAGTAGAAATAGACTTACTTATTAAAAATATAAACGGAGATTTTCAAAAATAGCTCATGCCGCGTCGAATATTGAGTTTAGAATATTCATTCTGGATGCGCAGTTCAGATGCGCTAGTGCTCTTTGCTTATGTCCATAGTGTTTTTGAAAACCATTTCTGAGATCCACCCTTTAGTGATGCGTATATAATCAGAATCGTCCAATACAGTATTAGAGCTCTGAGAATTCACCACTGATGAGCCAAGCCCTCCCAATATATTTTTTCACCGCAGTAAGGGCAGTAGAAGTTTGTATTATGTATAAAAGAAACATTCGTGCTTTTAAATCCTTTCAATTTATATAAATTTTTTTGTTAGAGTGTATTACTTGTAGAAGTGTATTACGATAAAAAGTGCTTACGATCTTTGAAACCTTACTGTTCTTCGACTGGTCTTAATTGAAAATATATTCTTACAAAAATATCATTTTATATACATTCTTCTGACTATGGTTTGTATAGATTATATACAACAGAGTTAACACACAATAATGCAAACAAGTATGTTGCAGAGATAAAATATAAAGATAGTTAAATTCGATCACTAGCAAGAGAGAAAATATCACAAATGAAGTAGAGCCAATAAAGGAAAACTACTATAGCTAAGACCTCAAACTGGGATGTGGTAGTAGTCGTCGGGTAGGTCTATTTTCGTTTTATACTGATGAGCTCCTGAGAAATAAAGGTTTCCAATGCCAGTCTTTGGTACTTGTTGCTTATGTTATTGAAGTATCTTAATTTTTTTTTGCTTATCCCTAGTACACGTGGTACAGGCCATGATAATCATGGTGGGTAGAAGTTGGCGACTGCTTTTACTGTAAGTGCATCACATGTCTACCCACATGTCATGTGAAAGGCAGTTCGACTTTTGCACTTACAAATGTGCCAGAGCCCCGTTTGGTTACTTGCACTCGCTGGTGGGGTTGGTCTTTTGCAAGAATCGGGGGCCATTGGAGCATTTTTAAGTATACTATTGCTTGGTTTAAGTTAAAAGTGTGTCTGGTCATGTGTTTGTGCTAATTATAAGAAAAATTAGCCAAATTTAAAATTTACAAATATAATAAGGTCTCGTTAGCGCTGTAGGTAGCGCGTCAATATCATAATCTAAAGGTCGTGAGTTCAATCCTCACACGGGGCATTTTATTTTTGGGAGAGTCGGTGGAAGGTTGGTCTAAATCGTTGGTTTTCGACCGCTACGATCCGGGATTGAATCCCGCATTGGGAACTTTTTTCTAATAATAAAATAATAATAAAAAAATGCTCCAATGGCCCTGATTCTTGCAAAATCCAACCCCAGCAGCGAGTGTAAGTAACCAAACGGAGGCTCCGGCACATTTGTAAGTGCAAAAGTCGAACTGCTTTTCACATGACATGTGGGTAGACATGTGATGCACTTACAGTGAAGACAGTCGCCAACTTCTACCCACCATAATTGTCATGGCCTGTACCACGTGTACTAGGGATAATAATAATTTAAACATATATATAATGATGAATTTAAAAAATATTTTTTTTAGGACTACAAATTTTATGAATAAATAATGAATTAATGAAAATAGTTTTTAAAAGAGATAGAGATATTTTACTATAATGAACTAAAAAGGATAAAATAAATATTTCATAGCTTCAGTCATTTAACAATTAGATCCATATGTAAAAAGCGGCAGGAGACGATCATAAAGAATTTCAAACTTAATATGATTTAATATAAATAAATAATGAATTAATAAAAAATAGATTTAAAAAGAGATAGAGATATTTTACTATAATGAAATAAAGAGGAGAAAATAAATATTCCACAGCTTCCGTCATTTAACAATTAGATCTATATGTGAAAAGCGGTGGGAGACGATCATAAAGAATTTAAAACTTGATGTGATTTAATATAAAGTGTAACTGTGATTAACTGTTTATGTTTACTAAATATTTTACCTCTTCTCTCAATATACGACGGTCGTCCTCCGCCACGATGTTGATTTTGAAGCTGATCGGGCAGTGTGAGGAGAAATGGGTGTATGTAGGGTGGATGTTGTTTTTATTAAACACGGTTTTGACTGTCTAAGAACGTAATTTCCACACAGTGCTTCAATATACAAGTATTAAGGATATTAAACAAAGACTCTCGAATGTAAATAGATACGCCATAGTTTTTGAATCTATTTTGACATATAATATGTTATTTTCCTTTTTAAAACAAAAATCATTTAAACATTTATTTTCTGTACACATGAATAAAACATAATAGAAAAAGTGTACAGTAGAATCTCTCCACACCTCTCCACAAAGGACAGTTTTCATTTTCAAAATTACCATTTTTACTATTTAGCAACTCTCCGGTAAGAAAACACCTCTCCCTAAAGGACACTTTGGCTCTGTAATTAGGTGTCCTTTACAGGGAGGTTCTAGTGTATATAAGACAAGAAACATAATTAGGCTTCTGTGAAAAGTTTTCTTCTGTTATAGTTTCTCAGAGTTTTCTTGTTAATTTATGTCCATGGTCTTCCTCCCCCATATCCCTAGAGACTGCGGGTCGTATCACTGTTCCACAGGGGCGTCCTTCTCTTCAGGGATTTAGGACGTTAGGGGAGACCCTTGGTCAATTGGCCAAATTATTCACATGACTCATGCCTAACTCAAAACCGTATCTTCATAGATAATATCAAATTTTTATTTATATTTTCTAAAAAAGAGACAGATTTGAAATATAAAAGGAATAAATAGAAAAAGGAAGAGTTTTCCTCGATGAAAATATTTATATGTAATTCTACTGTCCTAAAAGCTTATGTCCATAGTTTCCTTAAATACCATTTCTGAGAACCCTACTTCAGTGTAGCATATATAAGTAGAATGATTCAATACAGTATTAAAGCTCTGGGGAAGCGGGCTGGCTGATTTGGATTGGCGAAACCGCTGGGGGGTTCACCGTTGGTGAGCCGGGCCCTCCCAATGTTTTTCCATTGCAGTAAGGACAGTGATAGTTTGATTGATGTGTGAAAAGAAACATTCGAGTCAATGTTTTCATTTGCTATATACAAGGTATGTCCCATAAGTTCCCGGACTGGGTCCACAAAAAAAAAAAAGGTAAGATTTTTTTAAAATTTTTTTATTAAAACTTTTCAAAGTAATCCCCCCTTGCTTCAACGCACCAGCGCCATCGTTTCTCCCAATTGTCGAAACAGTTTTTATAAGCCTCTTTTGGAATGCTCTTCAATGCTAACGGCGATTTTTCTATTATGTCATCCCTGGTGTCAAAATGTCTTCCTTTTAGAACTGCTTTAAGTTTGGGGAACAGGAAAAAGTCATTTGGTGCGATGTCTGGGAAATAGGGTGGTTGAAGTAGGATTTGTGTCCCGTTTTTCGCCAAAAAGCTAGTCATCAAGTGCGCTGTGTGAGGGCGAGCATTGTCATGGTGTAGGATCCAGCCACCATTAGTCCATTTTTCTGGACTTTTTTTTTAATCGCTTCCCTTAGACGGCGAAGAATGCCCAAATACATTTCCTTAATAACTGTTTGGCCTGAAGGAAGATACTCGTGATGAACAATGCCCTTGTTATCCGAAAAAGCGACCAGCAACACCTTGTTTCTGGAATTTTTGGGTCTAGGCTCACCCTAACCTCTCCACTCGGCAGATTGAGGTTTGGTTTCAGGGTCATAGCCATAGACCCATGTCTCGTCGCCAGTGATTATCTTGTCTTTCCATTCTGGATCCGTTCTTGTCATTTCCATCATGTCCTCACAGGTTGCAAGCCGACACAGTTTTTGCTCATTGGTGAGGAATCTTGGGATGAATTTTGCAGGAGTCTTTTTGAGCTTCAAATCTTCGGTTACGATCCTTCCAATCGTTGTTTTAGAGATGCCTGTGTCTTGCTCTAGCTCCAGCAAAGTGGTTCGAGGATTTTATTTTATCAAATCGGTGATATTTTTGCACATTTTCATCAGTCCTTTGAAATTTTGGGCGTCCTTGACGAGGATCATCTTCAATGGAAATTCTGCCAGCTTTAAATCTAGAATGCCATTCAAAAACAGTTGTTCTCTTTGGGGCGTCATTGGGGAATGCTTTATTAAGCATTTCAAAAGTTTCGGTTGCTGATATTTGAAGTTTCACACAAAATTCTATGCAAATCCTCTGCTTCAATTTTTGTTCCATCGTAAAATCGCCGCAGCGCTAGGTGTGACCTTTAAATAAATTAGAATAACCTTGGCGCGCGCGCAAGTACCGCCTCGATATTGGTACCACCGTGTAGCCAGATATTTTTTCTATAATAAACAGTCAAATTCATTTACATTTTTAATTTATTTATCTTTTTATGGACCCAGTCCGGGAACTTATGGGACATACCTTGTATATAGAGAGGGAAAAGACTGCGCGTTATTGCTTTTTAAAAAAGGAAATTGTTGAATGTTCGGAACAGACTTTAAACATCATGTTGAGCTCTGTCATTCACGGTTACAAACTCGATAAAAAGAAGAATGGAAGCAGAAATAAGTTCGTTAAAATTGTTGAATGTTCGGAACAGACTTTAAACATCATGTTGAGCTCTGTCATTCACGGTTACAAACTCGATGAAAAGAAGAATGGAAGCAGAAATAAGTTCGTTAAAAAAAAACCTAGGTGCTCTCAGCTGTCTTAGATAATAGTACTCTGTAAGGGCGCCTGATCCAGGGACATAGCAGCGCCTGTACTCCCAATTAGGAACAGACGCCATGTGCAGCCGCTCCTAACATGGAATACAAACGCTGCTCATCCTGTATCCCTGGATTAGGAGTCCTTAAAGGGTACTATCAGCTGGGCCAGCTGAGCCCAGGTTTTTTAGTGAGCTTGTTACTGCTCCCCCTCCTCCTTTTTCATCCGGGCTTGGGACCGGCAAAGGCGGAGTTGTACTCCAAATTAGGAGCTGATACACATGATGTCTGTTCCTCATGTCACAGGCGGTCATTTTATATTGGAGCTATGTCGGCCTGCTACTGAGGAGTGTTCTCAAAATTAGAAACTAAATCGGACGGATTTTACTTCTCTCAATCATAACAATCTTGATCCTCGGAGACTCGACACCTATAAATGATTGAGAGGAGATAAAAAAAAAGAGAAAAGAGAAATAATGGTTTATAAGGTTGGAGAGAAAAGTTTTGAGTCATACATGAAAACATTTTTTTCAAAGTTTACATTCCTTTATGAATCAAGCAAGTACTAGAGATATGATATAGATATTATATATACCTTATTTGCAGAGAAGAGCTTTGCTCGATGCAATTCCTTGAAATTATATGTATGTACCTCTACAGACTTATAAACTTATGTCAATAGGTTCACTAAACACCCCTAAGCTGCCTTACATAGAAAATGCAGGGTATATAACAAAACCAATCCAATACAATAGTAGAGCGGTCTGGAGATTAATTTGGCGAAACCGATGAGAGGGTTCACTATTGATGAGCCAAGCCCTCTCATTCAATAACTCATATCACTGCAGTAAGGTCTGTAGAGATCATATTTGATGGCATTATATTAAAAAGAAACACATTTCCAGTAAAAATATATTTGTTACAAACATTTAAAAGATGTTGTACTCACAGGGCACTCTAAACAATCGCTTCTCTTAATCTGTCAGACTATTTTATGATAGAAAGTTTGCTCAATATTTGGGATAGGTAACAGAGTAACTGGATTTTCTTATTATTAAAAAGGGATAGAGAGAAAAATAATTCACAGTGAAAATGAATTTATTGAAATTCCTTTGACAATCATAAAAAATCAAACACAAATCCAAAACAATATATAAATAAACTTTACACCAGACCGATCCCTCACTAGAGGGACGTCTGGAATTCATCACAATTGGCTGCCACAAGCCGCCTTGAAGCCTAACAACTTTTTTCTTAAATAGTGGTTGTCTTCAACATTCGCAATTGTATAGTCGAGAAATTTAACCAGAATAAGTTCTGCCCAGGCGTTAAAAATAGAGCGGTATAAAACCGCCCATTCTATCATGCATCTTTCAACATTCTCATATAGGGAGTGTAGGAAGAAGTCAGCCCTCTTAGATTGTCATACAGCTCTTCTACCATATCCTCATCGGTTTGAGGAAGCTGTTTAGTTTGGGACTTGCTGGAAGATTCCAGAGTGCTGGTGGAAAGTAA